CAGATGCCGGACACGAGCATCATGTCTTGTCCGGCAGGGAGGGCAAAGTTGAGTAAATATTTTGTCCTGCATCTTCAATGAATGACAAATAATACCTTTGGAAAGCAGGGCACGATTTTACTAGGGTACTTGAACTGTTTAGTAGGGGTAGCACAAAAATTATGCTACTTATTAAACTTCTTATATAACACATGCCGGACAATCCAATTAGTGCATTAGTTTTACTCAACTTTGGAACCTCTAATTGCTCCTACCCCCTTGCCCTGCACTGTCCGATCTTATAGAAATGTGTGGCCCCACCACCCCACCCCCTTCCACAAACAGCTTCGCGCCATTCATGGCTTCTTCACACACATGCTTGTTTGGCAATCAATGCAAGGTACATGATGAAAGCATTCGATTGTATCAATGCTGAAGATGCAAGCCTGATGTGCCATCATCTTTGCGTGAATGAATATGTTGATTCGGAAGGATACACCAGCTGTGAGTGTGAGCAACGTGGGAAAACAGCCATTCCATCAATTCCTCAAGATGCACTTGCTTGCAAGAAGTCATGTAGAAGGATCTAATCATGGCACAGAGTGGATGATGATGATGATGATGTGATTTTGATGATGCTGAGGAGGAGGTGGTGGTGGAGCACGAGCTGGAGCACATGCAACAGGACGAGGACGAGGAGAAGAAGAGCAAGATGTAAGGGGACAGATAGAATCAGTAAGTGGAATCTGTAAGAGATTGGATGGGAAAGAGATTGGATCTGTAAGAGATTGGTCAACCCGAAGACCTCCTCTTGGAGTTCTGTAAGCCAACTGATTACTTTGCTGTGTGAGAAGAGAGCATGTTGCTTGTCAGCTTCGGAGTTGAGCACGAAATCGCAGTCCAACCCCTGAGAAGATCAAGAGTTGCTGGCAAGACGGGGGTTGGTTTCTTTGTACATGAGGAAATGCTCGCACCAGCAAATATCTTCGTTGCTGATAATGAAGCGAAAAAGCTACTTGAAGTTTCAGTCAAACATGTCTCTAAGGTCTGGCGTCAGGCATGTTTACAGAAGGAACAACCACTCAAAGACTTTCGGTGGAAGATTGATACAACCATATATTGGAGTCCTACAAAGGTCTTCATAGATGAGGCGGCAGATGGTGTCACGAAACTCAGCTCGGGAAAGGATGCAAATCCGTTGACGGAAGAGAATTACATATGCATCTGCATAGGCATAAGAAGATAGGATCGTGGGCAGCCTGACATATGTCACATTGAGTTGGGATGTCATCTGTAGATCCGTGAATACGGTTCAGATCCTGCTGCATGCAACACATCTGATGGCAAGATGATCATATGTTCGTTGGTGTTCCGAGCCTGGAGGATTTGAAACGCAACATTGCAGAAAACAACGATTCAGTCGCAGGCATGCTGAAGGAGATTCCGGAGATAGGGCAACATGCGACAGAACACCAGGAACAGGAAGAGGAACCTGACCTCGGAGACGTAAAAGCTGGCGCACTGCTGAATCGAAGCACTGTACAGTGTGTCAATGGCGATCGAGCTGGCGTTATTCACACTGTGACTCAGACTGCTCAAGCTGATCTGAAAACGATTCGAATTTCTGGTGAAGCGAAATGTTTCAACAGTGCATGGAATCTGTATCACTCTGGCAAACATGCCAAAGGGATACCTCCTTCGGAGAAACTGCAACGAGCAAATTTTAACAGAGCATGAAGCAAATGGTTTGCAGGCATAGCTTATCTCATGAAGTGCTTTGACCAATTCATCCGGCGAAGTGTAATGGAACTGAATTCCTTCTTTTTTATAGTCGGTGAGAATCTTTGATGTTTTAAGGCCGAGATGAAACATTCAAGAAATATCCAAAGGATTTCATCTCGTGGCTCAATCAGAGAGAAGGGGCAGAGAGCTCAAGTGATAGGAGTGGGCAGTTTGCACAGGCAACGTACTTCAAGAAAATGCGAAAGAAAGAAGCAACGCGACTAGATGAGATCAGGTGGTCGTTCGAAATGCGAATGATAACGAGACTGATGGCTTAGATTTTGCCTGTAATTGGATGGTTTAAGGTTTGCAAAACATATACGAAAGCTACATTCGGAAACGAGTGATATC